TCTGAAATTTCTGAAAGAAAGATACTCGACCAGGTATACACTCACTCAGACCTAGAAAAGAATATTACAATGCAAAAAAGCTGAGTCAAGGAAGAAAGAAAAATCTCAAAACAACTGTTCTCAATCAGCCGAATGTAAGGATAGAAAGATGAAGAATCAACCGGAGGATATGAACATAGATATTTTTTTCGGTAATGATGAGGCCGTACTCGAGGGGCAAGACAAAGACACAGATGTGGATTCAAAGCATGCTCCTAAGTATAAATTTTGCTTTGGAAGTTTTCCCGATGAATTTGTTTGCAATATGGCCTTTGTGTTACTGGCTATCTTTGGGGATACTGCTCGTCATCCAATGACTTTGGAAGAATGCTTCAAGATGGAAGAGCCGCCTAAAGCCACAAATGAAGACATAATAGTAGTTGAAATGGCGGCTGAGAAGATATACCCAGCTAAGTGGGGATGGATTACAACAAAAGGGACGTATGATATTGATAAAGTGGTATTTGATAAACTGTCTTTGGCCATGACCCAACAACTAAGGCCATCATATGCAAAAGTGTGGGTGGAAGGCCAACCAGTCAACAGGGTGCTGGAAGATAAAGAATCAGCCATCAACACCATTCCTGTCATAACATTGAGGTTACTAGGCCAAACTTGGATCCATCTAAATTTTTATACTTTTTCTATTCTTCATCAATTATCAATATTTTTTTTTATGGAGATGAAGTTAAGTCTATTGAAGAAATTACATCGGCCATCCAGTGAAAAGTCTCATATAGCCAATGTAACTCTCTATGGTGAGAATCATAAGTTTATAAAGTTCATGGACATAAATGAAATGAGGCGACCAACTTCCGCCACTATGAAAAGAAGTATGGTTGATCCGGACTTTACCGAGTTTCTCAAAGAAGTTTCATGGTAGATGATAAAACTTCCACGACCAGTTATTGAAATCCAAACAGTTGATGATGGAGGAAGAACCTAATAAAGAATTAATGAGGGAGTAGGCCTTCCTGGCGGCTTCCATTAAGCTAAAAGCTTGCTCGGTTGAGAAACAATTGGCCATTAGAGAAATTCTATTGCAAATTTTTTCTGTCGATATGGCTGAAATTATTAAAGAAGATGAAACTCCAAAGACTTGGCATGAATTGCTATCAAAAGCTTTATGGGCACACAGAAATTTAAGAAGACCAGGCACTGAAATAACTCCATACTGGCACGATGTCATTCTTCCAGTAGAGATTACAATACGATCGGCCAGAATGACGCTACATAACAACTTGATTCCAGTCGATCATGATCATGCCTTATTAGTAGTGTTTGAAAGATTTGATGTTGAAGTCCATCATGGGTTCACAAATAGCTAATATCTTTATCGGCCAAATTTATTGGAAGTTATGGAAAAACCTTGATCGGCCAGTGCAGTAGGCTGATATGGAATAAAGACTATCTTAGTGGTGGTTCAAAATAAAGGAAGTTCATGATTGCTTGGAGTTCGTTTATTTACCATTTTATTCCTACTATTAGTTCAACCATTCTTATGAAAATTCCCTTACTTATATTTTAAATTTCAAAAATCTTATCAGCTTAGATAACTGTAAGACTTTGAAATTTGGGGGGCGTTGACACACAAAAATGGCAGCCATTTTGGCATCCACGTGAACAAATGAAAGAGAGACAAGCGGACCAAATTATGGTCCAATAGTGTGGTGACACATGGCATTTGTTGGAGGATTACACCTTGTAGAATTGAAATAGGGACAGCTGGCCATTTTAATTCAGCTGAATAATGGGTACAACTAGCCATTTTTATTCAGCCATGTAACATGCCTTGTGTGGCCCGAAAAAGGTCAGAATATGAATAATGGATAAGGTAGGTGCTATAATTAAGGAGGTGAGTGTGATATATAGATACATACAAAAACCTCGTAATTACGTGGCCATCAAATTGCTATAAAGAAGGAGGAGGTTATTTGATTTGCTAAAAACTTGGAAGGAGGGAAGTTAATTTGGGACACTTGTCATGTGTTGGTTTTAAAAGGAAATTTCATAAATGAACGAGGACAAGGAACATGGCTACATTTATTATAACTGGAACACATACATATATATACTGATGAATATATGACATCTTCATATTCAAATTGAAAAATTGAACGTTGGTTGAGAACGTGGGACACATGGCATTGCTGGAAGAAGATTGTAGTTCGTGGGTCTAGAAGTCGAGCTTCTGTCGGAGATGATGAAAGGGAAGGTGTTGGCCTAAAGATTTTATCTAAAGGTCAATCTTATGTTTTGATGATTACAAACCATTAATGATGTTTAAGTACTAATGTTTTAATTGAGTGATATATAGTTGATCAACATTCAATCCTCAATGATGAGCTAGAAGATCCATTCCAAGCATTCCAAAGCATTCCAAACATTCAAGCAATGGATTCAAGGAAGCATCAAAGTTGCAAGAAATCAAAGAAAAACTTGGACTTCAAAGATCACACAAAGTATTTCAAAGAAAGAAAGCAAGTCTTCATCAAGCCTAAATGATCATGGTCAAAGAATGAAGAAAAGGGTAGATAGGATGGTGAGAGCTTAAGATTCAATGTCAAAGTATATTTGAATATTTTTTGAAGCTCAAAATTATAGGACCATGCATATCATATATCATTCATATGCTCCTATGACCATTAGCAATAGACTATGAACTTCATTTATATATATTGTCATATGAAATCTTTACTAAGAAAGAGTTAGTTCAAGTTTGATAAGCTTTGAAAGAACTCATTTTTTAAGCTAGAAATTCTAGGACCATGCACATTAATCATTATATTTATTTTGGTCTCTAAAAAGAAAAGGAAAAGGCATTGAATTAATTTTTCATCTTTAAAGCCTTTGTTGCCAAAATTTGGTAAATAACTCTTGGACACAATGCACTTGAAATTTATCATCTTCATATGTCCCAAGACTCTTAAAAATAGGCCTTGAACTTAATTGAATCATTCATCAAAGTCCTAGGTGCTAGAAAGATGGATATCTCAAAAGAAGCTATTTTCAGCTTAGAAAATTTCAGACCAGCTTGCACTAAAACTGCTATAACTATTTGTGTAGTTGGAATTTTTACACAAGGCCAGTGGTATTGGAAAGCTGACTTCGAGCCCTTGAGTTTAGACTCAAATTTCACCTAAATTGGATTTAAAATGACTGAGATATGAGCTTCACAAAACACCTGATTCTGCTCTGCGAAAATTCTGACCAGGTTGCACTTAAACAGCCATAACTTTTTCTATGGTTGGAATTTTTGAGCAAGGCCAATGGCTTTAGATAGCTGACTTCAAGACAATAAATTTAGACTCAAATTTCACCTCATTTGGAGTTTCATGGACTGAGTTATATCTATTTGAAGTCATGCACTTTTTTCTGTCCAATTTAGCAGCAGCCTTCATGAAGCAAGAGCAGCCTCTATAAGAAATAGAGCCAGCTCTCTCAAAGGCTAGAGAAGGCTCTACAAATTTAGAGACGGCTTAGAAAAGTAGAGAATGCTCAATGAAAAACTAGAGAGGGCTCTACCAAAAAGTAGAGAAGGCTCTAAAAATCTAGAGAAGGCTCCACTTTTCCATTGAGCCGTCTCCTTTTCAGAAAAAGAGCCTGTTCCACTTTTCTAATGGAGACGCCTCCATTTGAAATTGAGCCGCCTCCACTTTTGCAAAGAGCCGGCTCCTTTGAGGGTTTTGAATTACAACGGCAATTTTTCTGCATTTATTTCCTCTAACCACTTCTAACAGCTATATTGAGCTATGAATTTCTTTATATATACAGAGGGTTTGTCTGAAAAGAAAATACGATTTTAAGAGACATCATATTACATTGCAAAGAGAGCTTTTGTTCTCAATCTTCTCATCATCTCTCTCATTTTCACTCTTATTCTATCTTGAGAGATTCCAGTTAAGATTAAAAGGGCTGTTGCTCTTGTGTTAATCTTCATAGAGTTTTTTCTCTATTATACTACTTGAGAGAGCATTCAAGAACATTCATTCAAGTGCATCAAAGAGAGCTTTTGGCTCTACCATTATACAGAGCTTTTATTCTAGTTATACTCACTCATAGAGCCTCTGTTCAGACATCGATCTTTATCTCATATACAAGCTTCCATAGTTGAATCAGAGTGAACTTCAGAGAGCATTTAGTGAGCCTTTGCTGAACTTTTGTTCTAGTATTTCATCAGAGCTTTTGTTCTGTATTTTCCTCATCATCTCTCATACATTTCATACTTAGAGTTTGAGCTTCACTTCATTTCATATATACTCTATTGTGAGGTTTGATTTGTATCAGTTCTTGAGAGGATTTCTTGTACTGCAAATTCTATCTACAAATCTGCTGTAAGCCTAGGAGGAAGAGTTTCTCTTAGCAAAGAAATTGTAAGGGCTGGTGTGGCCTATGTAAAACTAAGAGAGGTGGTCTCTTAGTAAGGATACTGTAAAGGGTTGGTGTGACCCAAAAGGAAGCCTAGGAGAAGGGTGTTCTCCTAGCAAGAAAGAGAAGCAAGGTCTTGCTTCAATTAAAGGTTTGCTCTCCACCATTAAAGAGAAGCTCTAAGGAATTTGGAAAGTCTCAAGAGGGATCTTGAGCCGAGGAGTAGGAGTTTCCGAACCTCGCAAAAATTGCTGTGTTATTGTTTGCAATCTTTCTTCCCTTATCTCTTTTACAATTGTGCTAAATTGATTACTTTCATATCTTGTTTATTACATAATTGGTTATACTGTTGATTAGAAATTGTATTTCTATAATTTGTGAAAATTGGCCATTGACTCTATTCACCCCCTCTAGAGTCAATTCTTGGGTAGGGACAATTTGTGATAGGACATGTGTCCTTCTTGTAAGGCTTGTAATGCTTATAAATAGTGTATGCAAGACTACATTTAAATCTCTCTCAACGACATCCAACAACTTCAATACATTGTAGTTCAATTCCTGCAATTTCGATGCAAGTACTTTATTTTCATGCACTTACTTTTTATTATTGCAATTCAATTCCTTAGTTTAGTCTTATCAAAGTCCTTTCATGGAAGGCAAATCAGAATCCTTCACAATGGCCTGATTGTTCCAAAATGATTTCTTTTTGTTTCAATCATCTCTAAATCTTTAGAGATTCTGGCACGCCAGCGCATTTCCAATGTTCCAATTTTGTGCAAACAATAGGCGAGGCCAACATGTGTACCTCTGTTTGCCCTACCATTAAAACATATATGGATCTATACATTAAAACATATATATATATATATATATATATATATATATATATAGATAATAAAATAAAATGATACATATGACAGTAGTACATTCACACATTGGCAGAGTAAATCGAAACCGGTAATGAGTTGAAGATGGCCAGCTTCTTCAATTACACAGTGTTCATATTCTCGCTTCTGTGTTCGATACATCTCTGCAATGTGAATGCCTCAAGTTCGTCTTCATCTTCCTCCTCTTCAGCAACCACAATTCACACCAACAATTGGGCTGTTTTAGTCTGCACATCCCGTTTCTGGTCAGTTCAATTTGATTTACTTCCCCCACACCCTTTTCTAAAATATATAACCTCTGTTTGGATACCGGGAAAACGAAGGAAAATAGATTGATTTGTTATAAATCAATTTGTATTTAGGGCATTCTGAGAAGCATATCATATAATCTAGAACCCGTTACTTCGAATTTAATATATTGTTTAGGAGATTCTAAAATCGAGGTGTGTTTGATGCAGAAAAAATGCGCTCGAAGGCGTGATTTTATATATACTGCTTTGATTTTTTAAAATTTATTTTCATTTGATTTATAGAAAACCCTCAACAACTGGTTATCATTTGGTTTGTTATGTATGTTTTTGAGATAGTGCAGATGTTTAATTTCGGACTAGGTTTTCTGTAATATTGTAATAAACCAATCTGATAGTTCATGTATATTCTTCTTCGTCTTGTTCTTCTTTTTACTTATTTTTTATTTTGTGATGAAAACTAAATTTTACCTGTTTTATTGTTCTAATGAATGCATTTCTTATTTTCTTGTAGTTGTTATTTATTTTCTAAATTATTCATTACTTTTGTTCTATTCATTGCCAAAATATATTTTATCAACTTTGGATTATTTGCTTATAAATTTGGAGAAGAAAACAAAGTCAATTTCAATGACTAGATTTTTTTATTACAATAATAAAGAAATGCTAAATTTTGTTGGGAGAATATAGAACCGTCTTATGTATGGCCTCTAGATTTCATGTTATATATTACCTTGCAGTTAAATTGATACTCTTGTTGTTCGTGTTTAGGTTTAATTATCGGCATATGGCCAATACTTTATCTCTATATAGGTAAGCATGCTGTTCTTTATATTATTGATTTAAGTTTATTTTGTATCTTTAGGTCCTCCATGTAATTCTTTCAATTACTAAATTATTTTCATTTTTTGGCCTTTTTTCCTTTTCAAATTTAGGACGGTTAAACGGTTAGGAATACCTGACGAGAGGATAATACTTATGTTGGCTGACGATATGGCTTGCAATGCTCGGAACAAGTACCCTGCGCAAGTCTTCAACAATGAAAACCACAGACTTAACTTGTATGGAGATAATGTTGAGGCAAGTTTTGTTTCATCTCTTATACTTCTGACTCTTATTTATTTTTATTTTTTGATAAGTGACATCTGACTCTTATTTTGAAGAGTAAACATTAGAGTGAAGTTCAAATGTGGTCCAGTAAACATCAAAAATAAGGTTAAACCTTGAACCAGATAAGAAATGGTATCTTCAAAAATATGTCTTCAGTTTAAGTTCCCTTTTGCTGTGCGGACTTGTCCCTTACCAATTTTTACAGATTTGTAGGTTTTACAAAGTATTATTATTTACAGATTTGAATGAGTAGCAGGGAGTCAAGGAATTTAGGCCAAAATACCAAATGAAAGTGGATCAAATTTTATTTTTTATTTTTTTTATTTTTTTATTTTTTTATTTTTATTTATTCCCGAGGAAGTGCATATCTTACCCGGAGGAGTATTTTCCAAATATTAGCCATTATTGGCAAGATCATGATCTAATAACTACAGCCATCAAATTTTCATTTAAAATAAATTCAACTGCTAGCAGAAGAAAGTCTTGGTATTCATTTACAGAGTGCTCAACCACTATTTCTCCTTCTCTTCTTTAGCTGCTATGGGATGAGTTGTTCTTCCAAAATAATGAACCCTTGTACTGGATGAGATTGTCTTCTTCTTTCTTTTTCTTTTTTCTTGGTCAAAATTTTATCAACTACTGTGCTATTTTTCAAGTCATATTTCTTTGAGTAATAACACTAAACTCCTGCTAGTATTGATTATCATCTTGATATTCTTTGTGGCAGGCATATATTTGAATGTGACTTATATGGAAAACCATTTTTTAGTTTGCTTTACTAATTAAAATGTTAAAAACAAATATGCTACACAATGTTTGAAAGAGAAGACTGCATATTAATCCCCACTTTTGATGTATCATTTGTTTATCAGTATACTCTAATAGAAGAATTGTCATACATATAAAATTCAGACATTGCATATGTGACATATTATTATTATTAATTCACAAGAATTGTGAAAATATACATGTGGCTTTACTGAATTTATTGCCTTTGATAGAACAGAATGCAAACAAGATGCTTGTAGCCGATCCCAGATAGTAGGGACAAAGTTTTTTTTGAGTTGATTCTGTATTCTAGATAGCTCTCTGATTATACGGTGCTCCATGCCAGGTAGATTATCGAGGTTATGAAGTGACAGTTGAAAACTTTTTGCGAGTTTTAACAGGGCGTCATGAGAGTGCTGTGCCAAGGTCAAAGCGTCTTTTGAGTGATGAAGGAAGCCACATAATTCTTTACATGACAGGACATGGAGGAGATGAATTTCTAAAATTTCAAGACTCAGAGGAGCTTCAGAGTCATGATTTAGCTGATGCAGTGAAACAAATGAAAGAAAAGCATAGGTGAGAGTAATGTCTTACATCTGTTTGTGTTCACAAGTTGATTTTTTATTTTTTATTTCAATATATAACTGTGAAACTGAAAGACAATGGTAATGACAATACAATACACATGCCATCTTTATAATAGTGGCTGCCATTAATTTGACCTTTTGAAAGGGCTGGTATACAAATTTGTCTTATGTGTAAGATTCTGAAAAGCTATTTATGAATAATGGGTTTCTTGTTGACTGTTGAGTATATCAAAAAAATTTCAAGCACTCAGATACTTAGTTTCATGATCATTCCCACTTAATGAATTCTGTTCTCCATTTTGTTCGACTTTCAGATTCAAAGAGCTTTTGATAATGGTAGACACTTGCCAAGCTGCCACTCTCTTTTCTCAGGTTTGAGATTCTATTTCTTAATGATGTGATTATTCTAGAAAGATAATATTCAAAAAAACTCTTAATCAACTTTTTGATTCAGTTTATGGGCTGCAAGTCATGTGATTCATTTGTCAGTGAGTTTGAACTCTTCTTTACTGAAAAATAAAACCCAGTCCACATTTCACGGGCCCTGTTTGGAGATTAAATGAAGTGGACCAGTCTAGGACAATATTTAAGGATGGTAAGCGAAGGGGTTGGACAGGGATTCTCCTTTCTCAACACTCCCCGGTAAGGAAAAAAAAATTCTTGCCAACTCTGACACTAGCATGTCGAGGCAAGAAAGTAATTCAATGAATGCATGGCACTAAAGTATACATGATGCAGAATTGAGAAAGAAAGGAGAGAAGTATTAGTGGGAAGAAAATTCACTGTATCAATATGCTCGATGTTCAATAGTCATGAAAAAGTGCCAAACTAAATGCAACAAGACATATATAGGCACTAAACAAAGCTCTAATAGAACTCTACTACCAAAAATTAAAATCCTAAAGAAATAAGAAAAATCTCGATAATAATAAAATATAAAATAAATCCTAAAATCATCCTCCATTATAAGTAACATAGACTGAATGACACATGAAGCCGTCATGATCTCCATCCCTACGAACATACACTGGTTGTTTCAACTCACAATGCACACCATGTTGCCAAAGCTTCTTGTTGGAAGATCTTTGGTATTCTTGGCATCAATCTTGATGATTTTGAGGAGTTGTAGGTTTACTTGTGTTAGTTTTTCTATTATGTTCTCTTCTTATTGGAAGTGGAGTTTTTCCATCTTCCTTAATGTAGTGTGAGAGTTTGCCCTCTATATTAACATATACTTTCATTCAATTTTAAAAATGAAACTTCCACATTTAGGGGAAAGAAAGAAAGAAAAAACTTTTGAACTTGAGACGTTCAAGGTGACATCTCTTCTTAAAAATGTAGTTTGCCCATGTTATGTCAAAACTCTTGATCATATTTGAAGTGGGACCCTTGTATTAAAAAAGAAAAGAAAAAAGAGATATACTCTTAAATTTTTTAAGGTTATATTATTGGGACAGTGTGGAGATCTTGTTGCTCCCGAACCCCAATCGGGTTATATAGTTCTTATCCCAATTTGTGGATACTCCAGCTAGAACCTTCCCCACTGCATCCGGATATGGGTGGGACGAGGTAGGTTTATAATGATCCAATATTATCTCAAGATCACCACATTAATTGAAACATTTTCTAACTATCCATCTAATGTAATGAATTAATATATCCTTAAAAATGTCTTACAATCTAAGCACTCAAATCATGAGCAGGAGTGAAAAAGTGACAAATCTAAAATTTAGTCAGAGTGGGAGCACCTCCAGAGTGCTTGTAAACTTCTATGCGGGTGCTTGTTAAAATACTTTCAATATGTACATATGTTGCAGGCCATTACTTAGTGCAATAATAGAAATGTATGAAGAAATGTGTTTGAGATACGAGTAATGCATTATTTCTTTTTTGTTAACGATATTTTTTATTTTGAAGAGAATGCAAGCTAAGAAACCTATTCATTTATTTTAATATTTTAAAGAGAGATTTAAATTTTTATACAAGAATGGAATACTTTAAGAAATTATAAAATAGCAAGCATCTTAATTGAATTAAATAAAAACTAGTGTCTATATAATTTATTTCCAAACATATGCACATAAACTTTATACTTCTAGATACTATATTCTTTTAAGAACTTGTTGGAATAACTCTTGTAAGTAGGACATTTATCTATAAATAATAAAAACAAAAACTGGTCAATATGAAGCTGAAGACAAGAATCAAGATGGCAAGGATTGTGAGTTGTGGCCATGCTTACTTATAATAATAAAAAAAAGTGAGTTGTGTCCATGCGGAAAAGGATTGTGGAGTATATCTTAGTGTAGGAAGACCTAGAGGAGGGTGAGTAGCTCTAGTTTGTTCTTTTGCTTGTTTTTAGATGTTTCCAATTTTATAGATTTTAAAGCACGATAAACAAGTCAACACACAATCACTAAGTAGAAAGAGCAAGCAAAGTAAAAGAAAAAGAGAGAGAGAGAGATCACACAAGGGACATTTTACGTGAAAACCTTAGCGAGAAAAATCATGGAGACTAGTTGTCTCCGGCCTATCAATCCAGTTTAATCAAGAAAGAGTACAAGTTTCGGTACTTTTGGAAGTACTCTCTACTTGTCGATTCTATAAGAGTACAACGAGTTTCGGTACTTTTGGAAGTACTCTTTACTCATCGATTCAACTGCCTTCACAAACGGTCAGTGCTCTCTGACTCCAGGGCCTTCAGAATCACTAGCAACACTAATCCATGCCAACCGCAATTACCTCACGATGATTTGCTTCTCATAGCAATCGATTGCTTTCTTCCATAAACGAGCAAAGAAGAAGATTGAATATGCTACTCTGATCGCTTCGAATATACTCGGTGGTATAGCTCAAATTCATATGATCAGGATGAACAACACACTAAAAACACTCTTCTGTAAAAGTGTGTCTAAATTGAAAGAAAACAAACTTAGGAAATCTCAGCCAGTTTTTCTACCAAAATGCTCTATAATTTTCAATAATTTCTCTCATGTGTTTAACAAGTCTTTACCTGAGTGTTTATATATAGTCTTCTTTTTAGCTGAAAAAGTCATCCCAAATAATTAGAAGATGTGTCTAGGAGATCAGATACAAATTGGAAGTTAAACCTGATCAAAACTCAAAATTCTAGTTGAAGTTGGTAAGGTTCTACCTACCAGAACAATAAATTTTATTTCAGAAGTTTGTTCTACCGGTACAACTAGAAAGCTCTACTGGTACAGCAGCTTCATGGACCAAAGCATTATTCCAACAGAATCACATTTTACCACTACAAGGAATACTACTACTTGTAGAATAGCTCTTTGGAATTTCAATATGTTGGTCTAGTTACATATTCAACCTGTGCAAGTAAAAATAAACCATTGTAACTTTACACTATTGTTAACACTGCAATTTTTTCACAAAAACAATTCAACTAACTTTCACACAATATCCTCAATATTCACTTACTTACCTAAGTGTTGTTCAAATTAAGTTCTTCGGATATGAATTCTTAATGATCAATCTGCACTTTGTTTTTTAACACTTCAAACCGAAGACTTAATATAAAAAAAATTGCAACTCAAAAAAACAGGTTTTGGTGCCAACACGTAAGTATGTTTCTAACAAGGATTGTTACCCCTTTCTTAATTAATGTTATAGGTTTGTTCTTAGTTGTGCATCTTGCAGTCTAAATACATATTGCATATGGCTGTCTATCATTCAAGGAATGAGGAATTGTTAAGATTTCGAGTATTCACAAGATTAAATATGAGAATTAACAATTTTAATTCCTGTTTTAAATTTGAATTTGATTTGTTAGCGCCAATTCGAGCTCGTAGCGTGAAAGTAGCACTCTTTTAAAAAGGATTATGTTACTTAGCTTACAACCATTGTATGCAAATGTTTGACCATTGTATTGTCTTGCTGAAGGTTACTAGGCTACGTGGAAACTGGGCTGATTGAAGTTATTTTACCTAGGGCTTCTTCTTCTCCCATGCTTTTTTCTTCTGGCTTCGAGCTCGTAGCATGAAAGTAACACTCTTTTAAAAAGGATTATGTTACTTAGCTTACAACCATTGTATGCAAATGTTTGACCATTGTATTGTCTTGCTGAATCAAACAGTAGTAAGTGCCTGGAGGCTGGAGCATCCAATAAATAGGCCATCTAAATTTTGTCTCTTTTGGAGATTAAAGACTTTTTCTCTCAAAACTTGAGGGAAAAAAAAGAGAGAGAAAAGAACCTAGCATTTTAAAGTTGAAAAATTGGAATAAGCATGAAAACAGAAAGAAAAAAAAAAAAATTCAATTTTTGTGTATACAATTGAGGATAATCCTTATTCACATGTGACTTCTTAAGTTAATAGAAATAAATATTACTTAACTCAACTCAATATATCCTTTTTCTTTTTTTTCTTTTCTTAGTTGGTACTCACACACCCATGTCTCCATTGAGGCTTGAACCCCTGACCTCCCTTTGAGAAGTAAAGGCTTGGTACCGTTGGGCCACTGGCCCATTAGTCCTTTTTCCATCTACGTGGGGATACATAAATCCTATTTCCATCTTGCTCTATCTAATGCCGCAACCTCAGTTAAACCACATGCTATAAAAGTTTGGTACAAGTACATGGAAATGCTTTTGCAGATTTAAATGCATTATATATTATACAATGGTATAACACAAGATTTAGTTGTTCTTCAATGTCAAGGTTATTACAATGTGGATCCTAAATTGGATCAATTGGGGGTCCTCAAAATTGGATTGTAGGATCAGGTCAATAATTGTAAGAACAGAATTGAATATATGAAATTTAACTTTAGTAAATCCAAAAATAAAAAAAAGGTATGCAGTGAAGATTGATGATCTAGATATACCAAGTAGTGGACATTTTCGTGATTTAGGCTCAATTATTCACAATGAAGGAGATTTTTTATTTATTTATTTATTTATTATTATTATTATGAAGGAGAAATCTTTTGCATCATCAATGAAGGGGAAATTCGAGAGGATGTTAATCCTACAATCAAATAGGGATGGGTTTAATAGAGGAGTGCGTCTAGAATATTGTGTGATCAATGCATCCCTTTAAGATTGAAATGAAAGTTCTATAAAACAACTTTTAGATTAGCCTTCTTTATGTGACCAAATGTTGGGCGACTAAGAGACAACAGGCACATAAAATAAGCATGACGAAAATGCGAATGTTTCGATGGACGTGTTGTAAGACAAGGACAAAATTAGAAATGAAATCACTAGTGAAATGGTTGAAGTAAACATCAGTTGGAGATAAAACCACTAAGTGCACTAATTAGGAAAAGTAACATGGCCCCCAATGATGGTATTCCTAGAGATAGGAAAGACCACAATTAACATTAAAAAGAAAAAGGGT